CCCCAAAACCCCAAAACCCCAAAACCCCAAAACCCCAAAACCCCGAGCGAGGCAATTTAACAAGAAATAAAAATAAGTATTAAATTAATAAAGCTAAGGCCGAGGAAGTAAATTATTAATGAAAGCCGCAAAAAATAGTTCTCATATCAAGAAATCTTTACAATCAAGAAGCACTACAAAGAAATTAGAGAGATCCACTACATCATAATCAGATATCAAAGTTTCAATGATAGATTTAAACAAAAATAGGTTAACAACTCCAACTAAGAGAGCAATTATTGTAGATATTCAGTAATAGAATAGCTCTGGCATTCTAAACTTGAAGCAAAGTACCACACCTAAAACATTGTTATAGGCAAGTGATTAATAAATCAATAACCCATTTATGGAAACAAGTGGTTCTTTTTCTCAATCAAGGAATAGTTTTGTGTACTAAGGTAGAAGTTTAACGCCAAGCAATACCAAAGTAGATGATAATGGTAAAAAGATAAAGCCAAAGGAATATACTCTCTCAATAAGTCCAGTGAAAAAGAAAATTGACTAAGAGAGCAAGAAGCGAGCATCAATAATGAAAATAAACATTCTTGATAATTTAGCTAGAAAATATCAGCAAGTAAAATTTAATTGCAATTTATTCAATACTAGCTGGAATCAAGGCAGAATCCAATGAAGTAATATAAATTGAATCAGATTTACGGAGTAACTCAGGAGGAGGATTATAAGTCAAAGACTCCAAGGACTTATAGAAGAAATCAATCGTAAATAGGAATATTTGATGATGTGTCTAAATCACGTATTGATGATTAATCTCATAGAGATAGGTAAATCATTTAAGTCATTCATCAAAATTGTAGATCAAAGAGTCCTTCTTGCGTTTTTCTTAATGCAAATGAGGAGAGTCCTTTTAAAAACACTAGCAGAATTAATACATTTGATTATAAGATAAAAGTAGCAGTAGCTAAAAAGCACTCAAAATCTCCATTCAGCAGAGTGACATTCCCTAATGATGACAAAGGGCACTAAAAACTAGAAAGCTATAAAAATTCTGCTAGAAACTATCATATGTAATCATCATTTAATTTACTATTTATAGATCACCTAACTTCAAAAGTTTTGTAAACTTAAATCATGAACAGTAAACTGAATTGTCTGGAGAGGGTGGATATCATAGAAGGAGTCAGTCGCCATTCAAACCTGAAGACAAAATTGGAGTGGTGTTTAGTTAGGAAAATAGCAAGAACTGGCTTAAAAATGTAAGAGCCTATTTAGCATTAATAAAATATAGATGCAATCATCTAAAGTTACATAGACTAATTATAATCTTGCATAGTCTGCCGCTTAATAAAATATGAAAAATTTGAATCAGCATAAATTGGTTTCAGCATCGTATCAATGAAACTGTTGATTATTTATTTTCTTTTGAATTAAAAGAGCATAAGAGTGTGAAATTCTTAATAATTCATATGATTTTCTGATAAGTATAAACAAATTATCTGATTAAGTATTTTAAAAATAATTTTTAACTAGTATAAAAGGTCGCTGTAATTAATTCTATTAATTCTTATTTCAACGTTCACATTTTGATTTTGCCCGATCCCCGCCTTACTTTATTTTAACAAATAAGAAACCTATACTTAAAATGACTTCATAATCTTCAGATCAACAAAAAATATAATCATTTCTTGACTCTCTTGATGAAATCTTGAATGATAGATACGAATAGTAAAAAGTAAAGTATGCTAACGAGGTCAATTTCGACATTGATAATGAGAGAGACATACGAACAGTTGCTTCTTCTAACAGCGGAAGTAATAGCACGCAGTCTAAGGTTCCATTAATAGGGGGTTTTAGGTGGTCTGAAATTATCAGAGAGCCTGAAAGAAAAAGAAAAAGTAGCTCTCCACTTGAAATTGTACAAAATACAGAGTTAGATGTCCCTCCGAGAGTGCAATTGTAACTAAGTGAGAAGAAAAAACCATTAGCTTAGGAGAGAATATCATAATTTACTAATGCATCGACTAACATTACTAATACAGTTGGGGACAGAACATCCTTATTCGGTATCCTTACTGATAGATCTAGGTTTTCCTTTGCTAATTAGGCACCACCAGATTTATCTAGACTTAGTAGCGCTCATGAGAACTTACTTTTTGATAGAAAAATGCCTTAATTACCTGAAACTTTAAGAATAAATTCTTAGGTAGTTGATAGAAACAGTTCAATTTTTGCCCATATGAGGCAGAATTCAGAAAACAGCTTGTTTGAGCCAGTGAGAGACACGCATGCTTAGACAAGTAGGCATGGTGCTCAGAGACACTTGGATTTCAGGGCATTTAGTGATGATTTACCAATCCAATATTAGAACCAAAACCTTGAAGAACTGAATGAAGTTTCAAGTGGAAAAGAGGATGAAGAGGAAGAAGAAAAAAAGTTCTCATAAGAAGCACTAAGTTCAGAGCATGAGAGTCGTAAGAACAGTTTCCAAGATAGAAATATGGATACTGGAAACCCTTAATACATCTCTTAGAAGTCTAAGATTGGAAATAAAACGTTACTGTCTCGGAATCAAGGGCCTTAGACTGGTATTAGAGTAAATACTGACAATTAAAATATAAGGTTACCAGTTAATTACTCGCTAGGATTAACTAGTCAAAATGAATATTTAAAGCATTCTTATTCTGACGAATTTATTTTCGGGGAAGAAGTCTCAAACCATGAAGATGAAGAAGGCAATGTTGATAATAGTGACGAAGATATCCCCAATAACGAGGAATTGCATCCTTAGAGAGTATACTAGCATGGTAGATAGCTAAGTGACAGTAAAAGCAATCTTTCAGCAACAAAGAATCCTTAGAGAAAAAAGACTAATGAGACGATTGTAAATGCTTAACTTAATCTTAAAGATACTAGATGATGATTAATTATGAAGAAACACTAAATTAGAGAGCTAAAATCTCAACAAAAACTCAGTATGAAACATCATTTATAAGCATATACAAGGATAACTTTTCAAGTTTATTGTACTTGTAGATATTCTAAGTATTGATTGAATATTATCACATCCCTAATGTTTAAATTTAGTTTCAAGTTATTCAATAAAGCAACTTATAATTGACAATGGGGTTTTGGGGTTTTGGGGTTTTGGGGTTTTGGGG